ATATAGTAAGTTTGATACTAAAACCAGCCGGGGCTACACAAGACCTATACAAACAAACAAATAAAAAGATAAAAGTATCCTTTTAAAATGTGGTGTGGTGCTGGGGAGACTGCTCAGTAGGCAAAGTGCTTTGCCACACAACCATGAACTCCTGAGTTCAGGTCTCCACCACCATGTAAACGCTGGGCACAGTGAAGAGCATCTGCAGGGCCAGCGCTGGGAAGAGGACACAGGGGGGTCCTGGGACTCATTGGGCAGTCAGCCTAGCTAGTCAGGGAGCTCCAAGCTCAGTGAGAGGCCTTCCCTTAAAAACTCAAACATAAGCTGGGGTCAGTGACAGTTCAGTGGGTAATGGCACTGTCATATAAACTGACAATCTGAGTTCAATCTCTAGGACCATGTAAAGCAGGAAGGAGACGTGTTGTCTGATCTCCACATGCACACACAACACACAATCATAAATAGAGAAAAATCAGGCGGAAAGGGATTGAGGAAGACACCTGATAGCAACCTCTGCCCGTAACACCCAGATGCACACTCACACAAACATGTATGTGCACACATATAACACACACAGTGTGCTGGCGCACATCTATAGCCACAGCACTCGGGAGACAGAGGCAGGAGGATCACATGCTAAAGGACAGTCTCGGCTATGCAGCAAGTTCTGCAATGAGAACTTCTTCAGTACTGCATTCTGGGAAGTTGGCCTAGAGTCTGCAAGTCACTCAGGGAAATAGCATCCAAAGATGGCAAGGCAGAGATCTCAAACTCAATGTAAATTCTTGCTAACAGCCCAAGGACACACCGTCCTACATAACTTCAGGTAAGAAATTAAAAAGTTGGGGCTGGAGAGTTGCCCCAGTAGTTAAGAGCATGCATTGCTCTTGCAAAGGACCCATGGTTGGCTCTCAGAAACCCTGCTGATCAATTCACAACCACCCCAATTCCAACTCCAGGTGATCTAATGGCTTTCTGAGTTCCCCAAGCACTGCATGCACGCACACACACACACACACACACACACACACACACACACACGTATGTACATGCACACACATGTTCTCTCTCTCTCTCTTTCTCTCTCACACACACACACACAAATAAATCTTAAAAAATAAATTAAAAACTCCTCACGTATTTCAGCAGTAGGACTTGGGGTGGAGCCACCCAAAAGGACGTCTATGAGTGAGGATGCTGGCCCAGAGTGGTACTTCTTCAGTGTCATCAGCGCTCTGTGAGGAACCACAGCCAAAATGAGGCGCTCTCAGGGACCGCAGTTCAGGGACAGCATCCCAGGAGACAGGCCACTCCCTCCCTCAACACAGATAAGGGCACTCATGAGTGGCATCCGAAGAAAACACCCGTCTGATCTTCATCCTGGAACACTCACTTTTTCAGTCGCTTGTAAGTGACATCGTTGGCGAGCTTCAGTAGTCTGTAGGTATTCTCTCGGTCCAGGTTCAACTGGAAATCATGGGACTCATCAAAGGCCACTGTGACTGACTTTTGGGTGATGCGGGTCAGAACCCCAGTGGCCAGCTGGCTGCTTTCATTAGCATCATATAGACCCACAATATCACCTGTGAAAACAAACCCAGCTAAATATTATGGCATGTGATCCTTTCCAGTATATTTCAAATAAATATATATGATCTCAAACAATATATATCATCCTGCATTTATTCATCTGTGGGTGTCATGGTCCTTATATGCAGGTCAGAAGACAGCTTGCAGCAGTTAGTTCCCTCTTCCGTCATGTAAATCCTGGGGACTGAATTCAAGCACCTTTCTCCCATGTGTGAGTTTCCCCTGTGCCTTGAATCTTACTCATCTCCTCCCTGACCTTAGAAAGACAAGAGGAATATGACAAGGATGCTCTTGGGGTGGAAGCTGAGCTGGGTGCCAGACTCCCTATACCCCACCCTGTGCAGAACCCCTCATCTCAAGATTGCTACTTCCAAGTGACTGAGACTTCAGACTGCCCCTCAGAAGACAGACAATAGCCATATCCCCTGAATTTGGTCAACAGCAATGTCCACAAAGCAGTACTCCAGCTTGCTGGTGTTCCACACAGAGGCCCAGTTCCCATTCCTACCACCCACAACACCAGTCACTCCACACGGCTTCAGGGAGGGCAGTGCACATGCTCCATCCTGCCCCAATTCCCGTTCCCACCATGACACCAGTCACTCCACACGGCTTCAGGGAGGGCAGTGCACATGCTCCATCCTGCCCCAATTCCCGTTCCCACCATGACACCAGTAACTCCACACAGCTTCAGGGAGGGCAGTGGACATGCTCCATCCCGCTTCTTCATGCCTAACTCTTGCTGGCTGAGCAGGCACTCTTGCTCCCATCTTGCAAGGGGGCAGACTAGATGTAGCTCCCTTAACAAGGTCAAGATCTCAAGTTCTGCTTGGTCTCACACCCATCAGCAGGTTCCTTCACTGCTTTCCCATTCCCCTCATCTTACCTTCTTCAAACCCAGCAGGGGAATTGAGAACTCTTGGTGGGACAAGTCTATAAAGTCAAAGGCTGCCATTCAAAACAAGACAGCACAGGGCTGAAGAGATGACTCCAGAGTTAAGAGCACTGGCTGCTCTTCCAGAGGACATGGGCTCAATTCCCAGCATCCACATGGCAGCTCACAACTGTCTGTATCTGTAACTCCAGCTCCTGGGGATTCACCATGCTCATACGGACATACATGCAGGCAAAGCACCAAAGCACATAAAAAACAAAACAAAACAAACCAGGACAACACAGGCAGCACTGCTGGTTCTCAGTTTCCAGGGCTGAGGACAACTTAGCATCCCTGGTGTGTGGTCAAAAAACTCCAGAGTGCAATGCAATGGCAGCATGCAGACTCAGCATGCCAGAGGCCTTGGGTTCCATCCCAGGCACTTCGAAGAGAAAGCTGTCAATCTGGGCAGCCAAAAAGCAGTGTATTAACAGTCAAACACGGCAGTGCATACTTGCAATTCCAGAACTCAGTAGGCAGACACAGAAAGCTCACCGCAACTTCTAATATAGTCTGGTCTACACAGAAAGTTCCAGATGGACCAGGGGTACAAAGTGAGTCACGTTCCTGCCTCCAAAACCAACAAAACGTCAGGCATAATGGCGTAGGCCTGTAATCTCAGCACTTGGGAGGGAGAGGCAGGAAGATCAGGAGTTCAAGGCTCAAAGTCATTCTCAGAGGCACAATTAACTTCAGACCCCATCAGCAAACAACAATACTAGCCATGCTAACTGTCAGATTTCTAAGTAGGAAATTTTCATTTTAGTGCTTCATATTCCATCTGGGTCTGTCCTCCAGCCTTTGGGAGAGAACAGGCCTTAATCTGAACACCAGCAATGGCCAATTCAGGCCTTCATCAGACACCTACCAGAAGTGAAGCTGTTGCTGGGAAGCACCACCACAGGCCCGAATTTCCTGGGCTCAAAGGTGACCAGTCGCTGCCCGTACAGCCCGGTGCACTGGCTGGATACCTGCAGTTTCAGCAAACACACCCCTCGGCTCTGGAGCTCTTTCAGAGAACTGTGCTCCTGCCAGGACCTAGAAGACAGCCAGGATAGCAATTTCACCGTTTGTGCCTGCACCCTTTCCTATTTTCACTTGTGCAGGAAAAGTAAGCAAGGAAAGAGTGCTGCTTACAGGCATCAAATAGGCCCCAGAGGAACTCGGAATTTGCTCCGCTCCAGCCCTGTTCTTCCCACAGCTCCCAGGACTGGTACTGCCTAACCTGCTCCCTGCGTGCCAACACAGTCTTCCCTGACTATACTCAATCTTTCAGCAAGTCCTGCAGGGCCTCCCCCTATACGTTACTCCCTCTCTACCTCTTACCCCCAACACCCTAACTGTGGCTCAAGGTTCTAGCTTGACTTTCAGTAAATCACTTCAGTCTCACAGTAAACACATGGTGTGGGAATTTCACTCTTCTACAGATGAAGTAGGGGAAAGGCAGGTACATAATTCCATAGTCACGCAGCCAGAGCAGCAAAAGACCTTCTTACTCATGACGACTGGCTGACTCTCAACCAATGATCTCATCTGCACTCGAACAGCCTGGCTTCAGGTCCTGCCTCCATGTAGGTTACCCTGGGCCAGTTATTTCGCCAGCCTTTGTCTTTCCTTAGGCAATGCACTGCGAGGATGGCACTGTGAGGTACAGAAGTGCAGGCTCTGCCTACTGCAGGCCTGTAGACGTTCTCCAGAAACAAGCCGGCTCTTCAGGAATGCCTCAGACACCATAACACGGGCTGCATCCACTTTCCTCTAGTAGGCTGTGCTCATGGAACACTCTCCTCTCCGGTTCCCGGAGAAATCTGTCCAACTCCATTTAGCTCGAATCAACCCCAAAACCCCAAAGGGGATCGTGTGATGTTTTCGTTCTCCCACCACCCCCTCTCGGGGCGGGGAGGGGGAAGAGTAGTGGCAAAGGGTCTCCGGTAGCACAGGTTTGGCAAATTGGCAATGTAGTCCAAAGGTGACCTTAAACGATCCTCCTGCCTCTAGTCCCGGAGAGATGGGACCGCAAACTTGCGGCCCTGACACCGCCGAAGGCTGACTCCTCTTGCTGCCCACTGGTCCGGCCTAGCCCGCCGCCAACACCAGACTGGCTCCGAGAGACCATGAAGGAGAGCTGCAGAGGCCCAGGGACCCGAGGCTGCACTTACCTGCGCTCCTCCACCTCGGCGTCCCTCTCCAGCTCCAGCAGCTCTAGCTGCTGGGTCACGAAACTCTCCACGGTGGACGAAGCCATCTCCTTGGTGGTGCAACCCCAGATCGGTGCTTCTTGCTCGGCCAGTTAATCCCGTGGGACCCGTATTCCCGCCAGACCCTGTCCCCCACCGGGCCAGTGTACCCAACGGACTTGTACTCCCTGTCGGGGCAGTGAATCCCGACGGACTCGTTTCCTGTGTTCCCCTGCTAAGTCAGTGATTCCAGCAGGACCCGTGTTCCCCTCTTACAGGTGTTCCCCACCGGGGTAGTGAGTCGACGCACGAGTTCGTGCGACTTCCGCTTCCGGTTGGGACTGGAAAAACAATGGCAGCGTACATAGCGGCCGCGGCGTTACCAGGAGCTTTCGGGCGGCTGGTGTCTGTATGTAGCCGCAGCATCCTGGCACCCTCAGGACCCGGAGCTGGTGAGACCAGGGAGTCCTGGGGAGGGAGAAAATAGAAGCGGTGCCCCCGCCGTCTGCCGCACGTGTGTCTGAGTCCGCCTTGGTGCCAGGTGTGTGTTGGTTGCGTGCGTGGTGAATAGTGCACCGGATTTGGAATACGAGAACCTGGGATGAGAACGCGATTGCTTCAATTAGTTGTTTAATAATGAAAAACGCTATTAAGCTTGTGTGTAGGTCTTATATTACAAAGATACAAACAGGCTCAGAGAAGTACCACCCAGGGTCATATAGAGGGGACTTAAGAGAGAAGCGATTCAGAAGCCGCTGTATGTGGAGGGTTTTGATGCCTGAACGTGGACATTTGTCCTCGGGCTGCTAGCCACCCTCGGATCTGAAAAAATGACGTCGAAGGAAGGAGTGAGTGGTTTTGATGTTAGGGTCTTAGACCATGGATGAACCATCTTGAAACAGAACTAGTACCTAAGTGGTGTGTCTTTAGTTTTTTTGGCCATGCTTTTAGCTTTGAGTATGTGTTGTGTGCATGTATGTGTGCAAGTGGCTGCACATACCATCGTGGAGACCGGATGACAATGTGAGGTGACCACTGTTTGTCTTCTACCTTTTCTTTTTTTTAAAAAACGACTTATTTTGATGTTTATTTTTGTGGGGGGTGTCTTATAGATGTGTTTTAGTAAAGGTGCTTGTGGAGTCTAAAAGAGATCAGATATTAATCCCATAGATTTGAGGAGAAAAACTACTAACCCAGATCATCATGGACAAATTAATTAAAGCAAACTTTTTTATTCATGCACACGGCTGCTTTCCCCAAGGCAGGGTTCAAGAGGTCAGCGTTCAGGCATGGATGAGATAAGGGTTCTTATAGATTAAATCTGTCTAAAAGAGAAATAGAGCTCGCACAAAGGTGAACTCAGCACTTGGGATCCCATGCCTTTAATCCCAGCACAGGAGTAATATGGCCGAGTGGAGAGAGGAGTATAAGGTGGAAGAAGACAAGCTCAGGTGCTTTCTGAGGATTCGTGGAGACTGATGCAGTCTGAGTATTCAGTCTGAGAGACAGCATTCAGTCTGAGGTTTCGTAGAGAGGATTTATAGAGACAGGATCGTCCCTTTGGTCTGAGCATTGGTAGAGGTAAGAACTCTAGTGGCTGGCCACTCTACTTCTCCCTATATTTGACTCTGGGATTTTATTATTAAGACCATAAGATGGATTTCACGCCTAAGATGGAGTCAGGCCGATTCTATCACAGATCCCCTGGAACTGGAGTTACAGCCAATTGTGAGCTGCCATGTAGGTTCTAGGAACTAAACTTTGTCCTCTCCAAGAGCAGCCAGTGCTCTTAACCACTGACCCATCTCTCCATCCCCTCCCCACCTTATTTCTGAAGGTTTCTCACTAATCCTGGAGCTGGCTCTTTTGGCTGACTTGGTTAGTTAACAAGCCCCCGAGATCCCTTTGTCTCTACTCCTGAGTGCTGGGATAACAAGCAGGTGGTGCTGTGGCTGGGTTTTTATTTTAATGCTGGTGATCCCAACTCAGGTTCCCTCACTATATAGCAGGCACTTTATCCAGCAAGCCATCACCAGTCCTCACCTGGACGTTTTCAGAGGCAGGTTGTGATACAGTAGGTCAGACCAGACATGACCAAACAGATCTGTGTATTTCATCACAGTAACTACCCACCGTGTTTCTCTTGTTCTTACAGCCTCCCTCTGGTCTGCTTCTCGAAGGTTCAATTCACAGAGCACTTTGTATCAACAAGGGTAATGTGGGTTTGATGGGTTTTCTATTCATCTGTAGAAATGTTACTTTCAAGTTAGAACTTCTCAAGCCGGGCAGTAGTGGCACATGCCTTTAATCCCAGCAGTCAAGAAGCAAAGGCAGACAGGTCTATGGGTTCTAGGCCAGCCTGGTCTACAGAGCAAGTTCCAGAATAGCCAAGGCTACATAGGAAAACCCTATGAGGTGTCTGGAGATATGGCTCAGAGGAATAGAGCACTGACTGCTCTTCCAGATTTCCTGAGTTCAATTCTCAGCAACCACATGGTGCCTCACAACCATCTGTAATAAGATCTGGTGTCCTCTTCTGTACTGCAGGATACATGAAGGAAGAAACCTATATACATAATAAATAAAAACCTTTTTTAAAAAAAAAGAAAGAAAACCCTATGAAAAATAAAACAAGAAAACAAACCAAAATGCTTCTCTAAATTTGAGGCTGGGTGTAATGGTAGTCTGTTAGCACATGCTTTTAATCGCAGCACTTTGGAGGCAGAGGCAGATGGATCTCTGTGAGTTTGAGACCAACCTGATCTACATAGCAAGTTCCAGAACAGCCAGAGCTACATAATAGAGAGACCCTGTCTTTAAAATTAAAGAAAACAACAACAAAAAAATTCTCTACATTTTGATGGGGTTGTGAGGACTGTAGCTCAGTGATAGTATGTTTGTCCAACATAGTTGAGGCCTTGGGTTCCACCTCCAGCACAAATGTGCACACACACACACACACACACACACACACACACACACACGTAGAGTTTGATCCCAAACAAATAATACATAAATGCATGCATAAGTTACATATATGCATACTCCAAGAACAGCATCTGACATACAGATTTGGCCAAAACTGTAAGGAAACCTGCTATGTGAATATTCTCAGCAGCAGAAGCTTCTTTGATTGTTAGAAGGACAAATTACAAAACAGCCCAAAAACATGAAGAACCCCCAAGTGGTATTTCACTGAGCGGCCTCTTCTTCCAGTTCTCCTGTGACAGGTCTAGCCCTTCTGCCAACTCCATCTTCCCAGCTCCCTCTTTCTGTATTCTTCATCTGGCTCTGTCCTGCACAGTCACTGAATCTAATGGCACCCAAACAGAGACTCTTAGAGAACAGCTCCTTCCAGCTAGTCCTGGTCCCCCAAGGTCACTGCCTGGCCACAGACTGATGGAGGAAGGTCATTGGCTAATAAAGGAACTGCCTTGGCCCATTTTATTGGTTAGAAGATAGGTGGGAGGAGTAAACAGAACAGAACGCTGGGAGGAACAGGAAGTGAGTTCAGACTCCACAGCTCTCCCCTTGGGAGCAGATGCCTGAGAGAGACACCATGCCCCGCTCCCGGGCAGACACACGCCATGAAGCTCCGACCCAGGATGGACTAGGCTAGAATCTTCCCGGTAAGACCGGTTCTCACAGATTATTAGAGATGGGTTGATCAGGATATCAGAATTAGCCAGTAAGGGCTAGAGCTAAAGGGCCAAGCAGTGTTTAAATGAATACAGTTTGTGTGTTGTTATTTCGGGGCATAAGCTAGCCAGGCGGCTGGGGTGCCAGGGACGCAGCCCCCCGCCACTCTTATTACTACAACAGACCATGGAGTTCATATTCCTAGAGACTCTGAGAACTGGTATGGTGGGAAAGTGTCCATTCATTGCGCAGATGTGCACCGAAATATTCTGTGTGGTTGTGAGTAGCATAGACAGACAAGGCTTAGGTCTGAAGTCTGCACATTCCCCAGGGGACAGAACAGCTGGAACTCCTGTGTTAGTCATCTAGAGCCAGCATTAGTGTTGTGGGTCTCATACCCCTCCATAGCAGCATGTGCATACACACCATTCTGACACCACACAACTGTTTCTTGGGCACTTGAAGCTGCCTTTCATGTGTGTGTGATGTGAGTTTATGAAATGGCTTTTCAGAAACGTCCCTAAGACCTCCCTGAGTTCACCACCCTGGGAAGAAGTGGTTCTGCCAGACCGTGCTGAAGAGACCAGACACCACGCAGGTAAGACTTTGCAGGGGCCGGGCAGAATGGCCTTTATAGTCCTTGCACTTGGGAGACCCAGGCAGGAGGATTACTGAGTATTCGAAGCCAGCCTATACTATATTTCAAAAGCCAGAACAAAAAGGGAAATGAATGGGTAGCACCTAGTGTCCATTCTCATGAGCCACTGAGTTAATCATTGCCATAGAGCAAGGTAGCGGGTTTCTGAGTGCTCTGAACCACAGCACATGTGAGCCCAACATTTAAGGTGCACGCTCATTTGATAAATAGTCCTCTGGCATCTGCGCGAGGCAGTCGTGATGGGAGTGGGGAGTGGATGCAACTCTATCTCCAGCTATGTCATGTGTTGGTGCACGCCTGGCATCCCAGCGCTCAGAATCACAAGTTTATGTCCATCCTGGGCTATGTGTCAGGAAAGGCAGCCCAGCTGTGCCAGCTGTAGTCACATCTGTATTTCCCAGAGTTAGAAGTGCCCATTGTTGCAGACAATCTTCTGGCATTTAAAATATTGTTTGAGATAGTCTTCAAGATAAATACAGTCCTGCTTAGGGCTCTTGTGGACTTGGTGCGAGGACTTTCCACAGCTATCAGAATCCATGAATGTCACCCTGGTGTAGAACAGCAAAGTGTTTGTGTCTGTCGCTGACCTATGTGCTCACTCTACTGCACTGTTCAGGGCACCACCACTAGGAGAGGGCTGCGTGTGTTTGGTGTGTGCACCCATTTGGTTTTGATGTTTTTGTTGTTGTTTTCTGAGTATTTTTGATCTGTGTTTGGCCAGTTCTGTGACTGTTGAGCCCAAGGACACTGAAGGCTCTTCCTCGTTGAGCCTTCACCAGTAATGTGAGGAGCTGCTTCTGGCCTTAGCCTGTCTCCAGGACAGGAATTGTCATGTCCATCCTATGTGTCCAGCCCTTGGCCTAGGGTGGGGTCTCAGTGCTCAGTTGGTGCCTTTCATAGCAAAGTTGAGGGCTAGGGGACTTGAGCCAGAGGGTGATAATGGGAGCAGAGAAGATGAAGTGGAGAGAGCTATCAGCTCAGAGAGACAGAATTCTGGCTCCTTAGCTGCAGAAAGACTGTCCTTTCACTTTTCAGACTGCATACATCGCCACCCTGGGGTGTAGCTGAGGCTAGACTCAAACCACTACAATCCTCCTGCTTCAGCCTCCCAAATACTGGGATTATAGGCATGTGCCATTCATGTTCAGCTTGCCCACCGTTCTTAATTGATTTAAAAAAAAAAACAAGCAAAACAAAGTGAGGGTTCTGCCCCAGAACTGCACTCCTGTCCACACTCCTGAGAGCACCAGCCTAACCCTGAACCTGCCCACTGGGTGGGTAAGCAGGGCTGACAGGCTGCAAGGAGCACCCCTCACAAGTGGATGGCCAGGGCCTGTCCAGGGAATGACTGCCATCTGCTGTCCTGCAGAGGTTGTGAGGAAGGTGAATGAGCTGATCGCCACGGGCCAGTACGGCCGGCTCTTTGCTGTTGTGCATTTTGCCAGCCACCAATGGAAGGTGACTTCTGAGGACCTGATTCTAATCGAAAACGAGTTGGACATCCAGTGTGGAGAGAGGATCCGGCTGGAGAAGGTGAGGTGCAAGTTGTTTGGTGGATTCAGGGACTCGGGCACCAAGTGTGCATCGCTGAGAAACAGGAGTCCGGTCACGGTGGATGGGGAATAGGATCAGTGCGGGGCAGAGCAAAGGGGAAACCAGGGCTGGTGGAGGGTGAGCAGGCCAAGTGTGCCTCCATAGAATTTCAGTCACCAGTATAAAACCGCCACTGGAGCTCAGAACAAGCTTTCCAGCATCTGCTGTTGCAGGGAGGCCGGGAAGTTCCAGCAGGATGCTGTGTGGGCAGCAGCGATGGCAGCCAGAGCCGCTTAGTGTTGTTGTTTTACTCTTTACTCTTTTGGGGGTCTGCCACCCAGCTCCCAAATAAACACACACAGAGGCTTATTCTTAGTTATAAATGCCCAGCCTCAGCTTGGCTTGTTTATTGCCAGCTTTATTTTTTTTTTTTAAACTTAAATTAACCTGACTGCCTTTTGTCTCTGGGCTTTTTCCTTTCCTTCTGTATATCTCACTTTTACTCTTACCCCATGGCTGGCTGGCCCCTAGCATCCTACCATCCTCTCCTTGTTCTCTCATTGCTCCTCCTTCTCTTCCAGATTTCTCCTTCTAGCTATACTCTCTGCCTGCCACCCCACCTAACCTTGCTCCTGCCTTGCTGTTGGGCCATTTAGCTCTGTATTAGACCATCAGATGTTCTAGTCTTACTCTGTGGCTGACTGGGTAACTGGCCCCTGCCGTCCTTCTTCCCTTGTTCTCTTGTTGCTCCTCCTCTTCCTCATGTCTATTTATACTCTCTCATCCTGTTTGTCCTCTCTGCCTGCTACCGCTGCCTGTCCTTGCTCCTCCTCACTGTTGGCCGTTATTAGACCAGCAGGTGTTTTAGACAGGCAATGAATCACAGCTTCACAGAGTTAGACAAATGCAGCAGAAACAAAAGTAACACACATTAAAATCATATTCCCCAACAGCTTAGTATGATCATTTAGTTTTTATTTGAGACAAGGTCTCCTGCATCTCAGGCTAGCCTCAAACTTGCTGTGAGGACAAGACTACTCCTGATCCTCTAGCATCCACCTCTCCAGGGGTAGTGGGGTCAGAGATCAGCTTGCAGAGGTCATTTATCTCCCTGCACTGTGGGCCCTGGGCCTCTCTGTGTTTTCAGTTCCCCATCCAGTTTCAGCCTGTGGGCATCACCCACTCCCTGCTCCCAGTGGTTTCTGTGACCTTGGTGAGGAGCCAGCCGTTAAACATGCTACATTTTATCCTCTCAGGTTTTGCTGGTCGGGGCAGACAACTTCACACTCCTCGGCAAGCCACTCCTCGGGTAATGAGCTGCTAAACGCTGGGCTTGGGCAGGGCCTGGGCTGATTGACAGACTGGACACAGTGTGGTGGGGCCCAGTGGGGATTACTGCACATCACTGTGAGAGCTATTGCAATATCCTGTTCCATTCTGGAGAGTGCTTGCTGACTCAGAGGCATCCAGCCGTCCATCACAGTGCAGCTTCTCTTTTATTTATTTTATTTTGGTTTGTCAAGATAGGGTCTTTCTCTGTGCCTGCCGTGGCTGTTCTAGAAGTCACTTTCACAGAGATGCACCTGCCTCTACCTCACAGCTGGGAGATTAAAGCCTGCGCCACCATAGCCGGCAGCCATGTAGTCTTTCAGATTGTCTGAAGGGCTTGTGGTTCAGCTTAAGGGGAGAATGCCTGCCTGTTAAGCTTGAGACCCTGGGTTTATGTCTCAGTGCCACAAACAAAATTTAAAAAAACAAAATAAAGGTTTTTTTGTTGTCTTTTTGAGTTTAACTGTATAGCCCTGGTTAGACTGAAACTTACAATGTATGCTAAACTGACCTTGAATTTGTGGCCGTCCTCCTGCCTCTGCCTCCCAAGTAGTGGGAGGCCATACCTGACTAAAAGACTTTTTAAATACTCTGCATTATGCTTTCTTACTATTTTCACGATGTTTACACTGAACAAACCAGATGTAGCGCACATGTCTGCTGTCCCTGCACAGGAAGCAAAGGCAGGAGGATCAGAAAGTCAAGAGTCACTCCCTGGATGTAAGGGGAGTTCAAGGTCGGTCTGGGCTGCGTGAGACCTTTGCAGAACCAGGAGTTCTCTGGGGCCCACCAGGGTGCCAGTAAGGCTGACGCTGCCCAGGAGGGGCACTCTCCGACCACCGCCCAGTTGTCCTTTCCTTCCTCTTCTAGAAAGGATCTCGTGCGTGTTGAAGCCACGGTCATTGAAAAGACAGAATCATGGCCCAGAATCAACATGAAGTTTAGGAAAAGGAAAAACTTCAGGAAGAAAAAAAGTAAGTGCAAAACAGTGAGTGTGTTGGGGCCCTGTGCTCCCAGCATAAATGGTTGTAGCCTATGTTCCCTGCCAGGTAACTGGGCAAAGCCAGGGTGATGTCATGCCAGTGTTTGTGGGGTGAGGACCCCAGTACTACTCACATTACCCCAATGCAACATAGCAGATGTGAACCCAGTGTGGCACCCACCTTGAGACACTGGGGGACAGCAGTGGTATTTTGGGTGGTTTTGGAAAACCAAAGCGGCTCCCACATGCGCCGGGTATAGTTGACACTCCATGGCACAGTGGGCTTGGGTATGTGGGGCTGAGGCCAGCTGAACTGTGCAGGGCAGGAGGGAGCACTAGTGCCTCTTGCCCTCCAGTCATTCTCTCTTTTCTGGAGTAAGGGGAGTTCCTGAGGGGAAGCACAGGGAACCCTCAGTGCAGATGCCACTGCCCCTCTTCCCTGAGGGAGCGCCTGGTTATTAGGCTCTAATAGGTGTGACCCATCCTGTTACCTGCTTTGATCTCATGTAGACATTTGATATTGTTCTCAAAGCATGACAGAGGGACACAGAACACCAATCCCTGCAAGGCAGAGGTGCCCCGAGGGCAGGGCCCAGGATCAGAGTGGCTGCAGAGGTTATGACCAGACATAGTGCTCAACCTGGGTTCCCAGCACTAAGGAAGCTGAGGCAGAGTGCTCGGCCAGCCTGGGCAACACAGCAAGGTCCTGTCTTAAACCAAGCCCAGGACCAGTGAGATGGCTTGCAACTAAAGACACTCGCCAACCCCAGAACCCACATAGGAAGGAGAGATTTTACCCATGTTGACTTACACACACACACACACACACACACACACACCACACACACACACACACACAGTGGCAACCTGCATGCACATACACAATAAACGCAATAATAAAATTTTTTTAATCAGCTTCCTCCCTACATCACTCCCAAAATAGTAAGAGTGGCATATGCGAAGCTGTCCTAGGCAGTGGGATGTTGTCTCGTGTATCCACCCCAGTCAGGAGTGCCATAGTCTGTGTAAAGAGGGAGGGAGCCTTGCCCATTCCTGGCCCTCAGAGTGAGTTGGTCCATCCTCCCCTCAAAACTTTAAGGCCAGTGCAGCTAGAGGAGCAGACCCTAGCTAGACCTCAGGCTGCTGGGGTTCCAACATCTGCAACTGTAGGTGGAGCCCCTGGGATGAGTGAGGTGGTCAGTATACATCAAATAAAGACTGGGGGAGAGGACATGGCCAGGAGACAGACAGCATGCACTGTTGGAGTGAGCTGGGACCGAGCTGGGAGTGAGTCTGCGAAGGAGATGAGGCCCAGCCTGTGACAAGGTTCTCTCTTTCAGTCATCGTGAACCCACAGACCATTCTCCGGATTAACACCATAGAGATTGCACCTCGTTTGCTGTGACCACAGAGCAGATATCTAAGAAGCATGAAAATAACCTCAGGTCTGCACTCAGGATGCTGAGGCAGGGAAATCACAGGTTCCAGAGCAGGCTGAGCTACACAAGACCCTGTCTGATAATAAAAACAAAGTATTTTGTAGGAAACTGAGCCAGTTTGTGCCTGATTATTAGTGGACATCCGCCGTGTTTGAACGGCCATCACCCTGAGCCATAACAGCAAACCTGGAGAAAATGACTGGCCAGCCTTCACTCCAGCAGGTACTGTGCCCACACCCCAGGCCTACAGCAGCTCCTCAAGATAACAGGACATTAGAAGGTGCCGTGCCCTTTGACACAGATCCTGGGTAAGCCCCATCCTGTATCTTGGTGGCTCAGCAGCTCCAAGTGCAGAGATGGGAGATGATGCAGAGGCACAGCTGACTTGGCAATACATCGGCTTCCTCTTCTCCCATCCAGGTGATGGCTTCAGGGAGACAGTTCTCCACTGGGGTCCTGGAGATCCAAGAACACAGGTATGGGTACCTCTGACCAAGCTGCTGGTGAATGCTTACCACATTGTCTCAGGAAATGATTTCTGAGCAAAGGTCATTGTGTCCTTTTAAAGTAAAAGCATGGGGCTAGGGACATGGCTTGGTTAGTACCCTGCCTGTCATACAACCATAAGGGTCTGATTGAACATCATCTACATGATACACCTCCAACATCTACATGAAAAAGTCTGGTACTGCCCCAACAACCTGAGTTTTATCCCCAGGACCCACATAGTAGAGAGAATTGATTTCCCCAGGTTGTTTGCTGACCTCCACAAACATGCCCTGTCACACGTGTGCCCACCACACATACATGCACACACTCACTCTCTAAATAAGTAGGTAGATAAATGGATGGATGTAATTTTTTAAAGAGCTTGGCAAGAGAGCATATCAGTAATCTCAGCGCTCATTGTGGAATAACTCCTCTGTACACTGAAAATGTGTTGTTCTCATTACTAATAAAAAGCTGATTAGCCAATAGCTAGCCAGGATTTCCGGAGCAGAGAGAATGCTGGGAAGAAGAAAGGCAGAGTCTGAGGAGTCTCAATTCAGATACAGAAGAAGCAGGATGTGCACAAACTGAGGTAACTAGCCATGAGCCACGTGGTAGAACTCAGATGAGAATTATGGGTTAATTTAAGTTGTAAGAGCTAGTGAGTAATAAGCCTGGGCTATTGGTCTAGCATTTATAATTAATATTGAGCTTCTGTGTCAGTATTTGGGAACTGGTGGGCAGAAAAGTTCACCTACAACTCAGGGTGCAGAGACAGGAGGATCCCCAAGGTTCACAGCCTATCTAGCAGAATGTGTGTGCTCCAGATTCAGTAGGAGACCTTTTATCAAAATAAAATAATAAAATAAAAAACAAGGCAGAGAGCTTGGTGTGGTGATGCATACAGCCAGCACTCAGAAGGCAGTTACAGATGGATCTCTAAGTTCAAAGCCAACCTGGTCTATATAGAGAGCTCCAAGGTCAGCCACCAGCCTTCTACATAGTGATACCCTGTCTCAAAAGGTGATGGGTGCGGGGCAGAAGCAGAAATCCAGCCTTGTTGGCCCCACCTTTAAATCTAACATTTGGGGTACAGAGGTAGATAGATTCCTATGAGATGGAAGCCAGCCAAGGCTACAAAACAAAAATGTATCATGAAACCTGCTAAAAAATAAAACCAAAATGGGTAGGCCAGTAAGATTACTCAGTGGCCCTGACTGTGCAAGCCCAAAGACCTGGGTTCGATTCCTGGAACCCAAGAAGGTAGGAGAGAACAGATTCTATTGTTTCTTCCAACCTCCACACCAACATGTGGCACATGCACACCTAGATGAACATGCACAATCATACACCACACACAGAACACATACAAAATAAGACATCACACTGTGGTGAGGCCACCATGCACACCAAGAGACAACAGAAGACCAGCGAGATGCCACCCTAGTACACAAAGGGCAGTGCCCAGGCTCAGGAGACCCCTGGGCACTGTGGGGGTTTTCCCTCCATCTCCTGGGAATCCTGGTCTTATCAGAACACATTCCGCATTTGAGGCTGGGGACTAGACAGCAAGCAGATGCTGGTCCATCAGACTCACTTCCCTCCAGCTCTGAGCTGAAGCACTGCCCATCTGCCTGCCCACATGGACAGACTGTGCCAAAGGCTCCAGCCCACCTCACCCCTGGCTTTCCCTCCAAACCCTGTCCCTCAGCCACTGTGACTACTGTACATCTTCCAGGGCAGGTGGTATACAACGGCTCTTCCTCCTTTTTCTGGCCCTAGAGCCCCTAAACCATCCTTTCCAGAAGGATGGGATTGTCTTTTGCAATCTGCAATGAGCCTGCTGTTGTTTGGGTTTGTGTGATATGGGGTCTTGCTCCATATCCCAGGCTGGCCTCACATCAGTCTTCTCTTCTCAGCCGGTCCAGTGTTGGGGCTGTAGGTGTGTGCACTGCCTTTGGCCACACCTGAGTTTATGGTGTTGAGGGGCTTCATTGGGTGGAATGGGCCAGGACCAAGGATAAGAGTCTTTGGCAAGAGCAGGATTGGATTAAGTTCTATGAAAATGCAGGCATGCATGTGCAAATCTCTCTCACACACACAGTTCTGTGAAAACACAGGCATGCGTGCGCATAGCACACACACACCCCTTTTATAAAGAGGCTACCTAACAAGTTCTCAAGAGTCTTTGGCGAGAGCTGCCAGCCACTGCTTCAAAGCCAGCATGAAGCCTGGCTGGGAGGGACTGGCTGTGCCAGCCGGAATGTGTAAACAAACCCGCAGGAAAGCTTTGTCTCTTTCACCTGGGTGTTTCTGGGAAGAGAAGCTGACTGGCTGAGCACTTCCCCCACCTAGTGCTGTAAAGTCAAACCCTGAAGCGGAAACCCTGGAATCCAGCGGTAGCCTGCAGAGCAGGTGCGTCTGGCCAGTTGGCTCACAGGTGAAGGCGTGCTTTTGGAGCTGCAATGTCCCCTGGTTACAGTGTAAAACACTAGCAGCTGTTAAAGACAAATGGCTGAGGTGCCTGTTAAACATATCAAAGTGGACCTGGCCTCCAGGTCCTCCCAGCATCCCTCAGTCCCTACCTGCTGCAGGTTATAGCTGGCGTACCTCACCCTCTACCCAGGGGCTGGGCTGCCCTTTCCCCAGAGGCTCTTCCCTATATAATGGAGACATTTTGGCTACCCCTCCCCCCTTTTGTACCTTTTGTCCTCTTGGTTGCTGCACCTGGTTACATCTTATGTCCTGGCCCCCCTCCACGCCGCACCTCCCCACATGGCCCAGCTCAGTCTGACCATGTCCACTCTGGACTCTCCCAGATGCCCCTGCCCTGACTATGCTCTTCACATATCTGCAATAACCTCTCTCTTTACCATACCTAGAAGTCAAGTCCCTTCCCTTCCCTTCCTTTTATTTCTTCCTGTCGTCATTCAGCAGCTTTCTGGTTTGACTCTTCCATGTCCCCTAAAGGCCCATGGACTAAAGGTTTGGGCCCCACGGTGGTGGCACTCTTAGGTGGGGCCTGGCAGGAGGAAGCTAGTGCCCTGGATGGGGGTCACATCAGTTAGTTACTGTGACAGAATCTCATACAAGGATTTCTTTCAGCCCAGGGTTTAAGGGACAAAGCCCATCATGGCCCAGAGTCACAGTGGCAGGAGCAGAAGGTGGCTGGTCACATGGCACCCTCAGTCAGGAGGCAGAGAGAGGTGACTGCCAATGCTCAGCTCATTTTCTTTTCTTTGGTGTGGAATCCCAGCTCAGGGCAGGCCTCCTCACCTAAGGAGGTATGTCTCCTATGTGGTTGGTTCCAAATCTTGACAATGACAGCTGAGGAGGAGAAACCTGCCTTTCCATCTCTCTGGCTTCTCTCCTCTGCTCTCACATCTTCTCCTCAGTTCTGGGAAGGGCGTTACCTCCTCTGCCACGGACTATCCTGCTGAGGCCTGGTCCCGGGGGATCTGATGCCTTCTTCTGGCCTCCACAGACACCAGTCATGAGTGTTGTGCACATACATACGTGTAGGCAAACACTCAAAAAGCTAAATCTAAAGTATTAAAATGTATTTATTTATGTGTGTGAGTGTTGTGTCTGCATGAATGTATTGCATTGTGTACACACCTGCGTGAATGTATGTACACCATGTACATGCCTGCATGAGTGTGTGTGTACCATGTACTTGTCTACATGAGTGTATGTGCATTGTGTACATGCCTGTATAAGTGTATATGTGCATTGTGTACACACCTGCCTGAGTATATGTGCATCATGTACACAACGGTGTATGAGTGTATATGTGCATTGTGTGCATGCTTACATGAGTGTATGTCCATCATGCACACTCCTAGGTGAGTGTGTGTGCATCATGTACACGCCTGCCTGAGTGTATGTGCATCATGTACACACCCGGTGCCCACAGAGGCCAGAACACCATGTCCGATCCCTTGGAACTAAAGTTTTAAGTAGTTGTGAGTCATCAGATGTGGGTGCTGGGGACTAAACTCTGGTCCTCTTTAAGAGCAGTCAATGCCCTTAACGGAGCCATCGCTCCAGCTCCAGGCCTGCCTTCATTGAGGGTATCTAGCTGCAGTCACAGCTGCTCTGATGGAAATGGTGATGGCTGTAATGCAAGGGGATAGTGTTCAGCTGCAGTCTCTGGGGTAGAAAACGTCAGTAAGCATTGCCCTGCCCCTGAAAAAGAGACAGACACACATGTGATGGCTGGAATTCTTTAAAAAAATATCTAAGTCAGGTGTGGTGGTGCACACGTTTAATCCCAGCACATGGGAGGCAAAAGCAGAGGAATCTCGGTGAACTTCAGGATAGTCAGGACTACACAGAGAAACCCTGTCTTAAAAAAAAAATTACTTTTAAGTTTTATTTCTGTTTGTGTGTGTGTGCGCGCGCGCGTGTGCATGCGTGCTCTATGAGAGGCTGTCTGATCCCCAGGAATCGTGTGTTGCTGGGTGTGGCTTTTGGGAACCAAGCTTGGGTCCTCTGGAAGATCCACCTCTCCAGTCCCATGGCTTTTCTGTTAAACTTCCGATACATCAGAATTCCAGAGGTCCTCACAGCACGTGTTATCCTCTCCCAGCTGAGAGCCTTGGGGGTGCAGGACTGAATGCAGCTGAATGAAGATGGGGTGCCTATTGGTCAAGGAGGCCTGGTCAACCAGTGCTGCCCTGCCTGCTACCTGGTCGAGCACAGTGGCCAAACTTGATGTCCCTCTGCATGGTTGGAAAAGTTGAGTCACATGGGGTGAAGAATCACAGCTCAGGGTAAAGAAATAGAATTGGGCATGTACACAGGGGCGTCCACTCTTATGTAAAGGCCTTGAGGATGGCTCAGGGAGGAAAGGCACTTGCTCCCTAGACTGATGACCTCGGTTTAACCCCCAAGACCCGCACGGTAGAAGGAGAGAACTGACTCCTGGGAGTTGGCCTCTGACCTCCACAAGTGCACCATGCCATGTGCATGTCCATATGCAGACAGACAGCAAATGTAATAATTTTTACAAAACATAAAAGAACTTTTTAGCTCTTTCCTGCCAGATTCTTCAGAAGGTGAAGGTCATGTATGGAGGGACCCAAGACGGTCTTTGAAACCTGATAAAACCCAACAGAAGCCCACAATTGCAGGTGATCCTCTCAGGGAACATGCCCGATACAATCACAGACTGAATTGGTGATTCCTTTTTGTTTGTTTATTTTGCTTTTAATTTTTAATTTAATTTAATTTTTTCAAGACAGAGTTCTCTGTGTAGCTTTCTTTGGTGCCTGTCCTGATACGAGCTTTTGTAGACCAGACTGGCCTCAAACTCACAGAGATCCGCCTGCCTCTGCCTCCTGAGTGCTGGGATTAAAGGCGTGCGCTACCACCACCTGGCTGTTTTTAATTTTTAAAAGACTTGTTTATTTTAATATATGTGTATGTGTGTTTTGTTCCCATTTATGTCTGTGCACCGCAAGTGTGCTTGGTGTCCTGGGAGGTCAGAAGAGGGAGTCAGATCCCCAGGGACTGGACTTATGGCTGTGTGAACGCCATGTGAGTGCTGGGAATTGAACCTGGGTCCTCTGATGGGACAAGTGCTCTAAGGTTTTGTTTTTATGAAACAGGATGGAGCTCATGTAGCCCATTGCACCTAAAACTCACTATAAAACTGAGAGTGGCCTTGAACTCCTGGTCTTTCTCCCTCCATCTTCCATGTGAGTGGCAGGTCACTTCTAGGCAGAGGAGAGAGCTGGAAAATCTCTAGGAATATTTTTTCAGACACAGATAGATAAAAGAACAGATGACAGATAGGTTGATAATAAGTAGATGGATAGATAGATAGACAATGGATAAGTAGACAGATGACAGATTAATAGATGATAGCTGGGTAAATGGGTAGATCGGTAGACAGATGGTAGATAAGTAGATATATAATGGATGAATGGATAGATGATAGATAAATATATGGATGGATAAATAGATAGATAGGTGGTCATATGGATGACAGATGGAAGGATGGAGAGATAGGCAGATGACAGATGGACAGATAGCTAGGTAGTCAGATGATAGAAAAACTGATGATATATAATAGATGATGGAGAGATAGATAGGTGGAAAGTGAGTAGATGATTGATAGTAATAGATTGTTAGGTGTTAGATTATAGATTGTGGGTAGACAAGTAGATAGACTGTAGATATAAACTGATGACAGACAGACAGACAATAAACACAGCGGATGCTGGATGCATGAGAGATGGCTGAGAGGCAGAAGCAAGCCTGTGTCTGGAGTAAACACTGTTATTTCGACTAAATAATAAAATTCTTTGATGGAACCAAAGAGCACGCGTCATCCTGGCCCAAGGCCAGCAGGAAGCAGAGGGCATCCGACCCTCTTTCCCTCTGCACACACCACCCCAGGCCCAGCACTTCAAGCTCTGTTTCAGAAAAGATTGATTCTTCAAGGCTCTGGGAGTGTTGTGGCTCCCAAGTGAACGTGTTTGTTTGTTTTGTTTTTTTCAAGGTAGAGTTTCTCTATTTAGCCCTGGCCATCCTGGAACTTGCTCTGTAGACCAGGCTGGCCTCAAACTGAGAGATCCACCTGCCTCTGCCTCCCAAGTGCTGGGATTAAAGTAGTGTGCCACCACCACCCAGCTTGAAGTGAACTTTCTAAAATTTCCTCCTGCAGGCTGAGGATGCTCCTTGGTCTGTAAAGCACTTGACTAGAATGCACGACACCTGGGCCCCAACCCCGGCACTGCATTAGCTACCTGGGTGTGATAGCTCACATAGTCATCGCAGAATTTGAGAAGTGGAGATCGAAGGACCAGGAGTTCAAGGTCACTCTCAGCTACTTAGGAAATTTTGAGGGCAACCTTGTCTGCATGACATCCTGCCTCAAATAACAAAGTGGTGTGTGTGTGTGCGTGTGTGCGCGCGCGCGCGCGTGTGTGTGTGTGTGTGTACATGTGTGTAGGGGATACATTCCCCTAGATGGGTGTATGTAGAGGCCAGAGATTGATGTGGGGGTGTCATCCTCAGTCGTCTCTCACTAACCAATGAGCCTCTGAGATCCACCTCCCTCTCCCACCCAATGCTGGGTTTACAAGCCCGCGCTGCCCTGCCCAGCTTTTGCTTGGCTGCAGGGATTCAAATCCAGGGCCTCAAGCTTCCATAGCAGGTTCTTCGCCCTCTGAGCTAGCTCCCAAGCACCCGCGGTTCGTAAGTGGCTTTCATTATTATTGGAGCTGGCAGAACCAGTGACCGAGTTAATGGGAAGATCCATCACGGCGTGTTCCAACAGTGCCAGGAGGAACAGGGAGGTGACCCTCCTGAGTACGATGGCAGGCCTAGCAGCCCTCCTACCTCGCAGCAGACAGTAAGGATGCTGACACCTGGAGGATGGCAGGAGGAGGTGGGGAGAAACACTCAGGCAGAGGAAGCAAGAGGCGGAACACTCCTGAGGCTGCAGACTGGAAAGGGCTCCCTATTGAAGGTCCTTGTGGGCAGTAGAGAGGAAACACCAGGTGGCCAAAGAAATGGCTATCCCTCAAATGGGACATGGGTTGGACTGTCCCTGTGGTCAGAACCAACATAGGCTTGGACGCTCATGAGTTTACCTATGTCCATCTGGTTTCTGTGTCAGGCAGTGCCTGGGTGGAGGTCTCAGGCCCACATACAATGACAAGCTGCTTGTAGAGCCCAGGGGACACAGCAAACTGAGTCCAGAGGCTTTCTTGCTTCCCCTGGAGCCCAGGCCCCAGCCTGTGATGGGCTCTCAGTAAACACTGGTTGGAAACCAGGCATAGGCTGGATCTTGTAATCCCAGCCCTCAGGAAGATGAAGTAAGAGGATTTCCATGAGTTTGAGACCATCCTGGGCTACACAGAGAAATCTCACAAATCTGGGCTACATAGAGAAATCTAGCCAACCTGGGCTACAGAGTGAGGTCCTGGATCAAAAAAACACATAGAATCTGGGCATGGTGGCATGCTCCTTTAATCCAAGCACTCAGGAGGCAAAAGCTTGCAGATCTCTGTTAGTTAGAGGCCAGCCTGGTCTGTATGTACAATTTCAGGCCAGCCAGGGTTACATAGAAAGACCCTGTCTCTAGCCTGGCGGTGGTGGCTCATGCCTTTAATCCCAGTAGTTAGAAGGCAGAGGCAGGCTGATCTTTGTGAGTTTCAGGCCTGCAGAGTGAGTTCCAGATCAGCCAAGGCTACACAGAGAAACCCTGTCTCTAAAAAGAACAACAATGGGGGGGGGAGAAAAGAAAGACCCTTCCCTATCTCAAAAACTAAAAACTAAAAGCCCCAAACCTGTACTAGGGTGATAGCTCACTGGGTTAATACCTGCTATATAAAGACCCCTAATCAACTCCCCAGAACCCACACAAAAGTCCAATCACGGAAGCACATACCTGTAATCTCAGTGCCTGAGTAGTAGAGACAGGTGGATCCCTGAGGCTCACTGGCCCACTAGCTTCACTTGCCAGAAAGTTCCAGGAGCCTTGAGAGATCCTGTCTCACAAAAGCAAAGTGGGCAGCTCCTGAGGAGGTAGTCCTCTGCCTCCACATGCACATACACACGCATGTGCATCTCCTCCCACACAGTTCCTCCCACATGCAAGCGTGTTGCTGCAGCTGAGCATGGTAGCCCCACATGCCTGTGTTGCTGGCGCCTGGGAAACAGGCACTGGAGGATTGGCTCACCATCGCTCTTACAGTTCAGAAACCATGCAGAGGAGAGGCCAGGCACAAATGCCACAGATTGTGTGTCTTCATTTCTATGAAGTCCATTCTATGGAATGTCCAGAATAGGCGAGTCCACAGGGACAGAAAACGGACCAATGGTCACCTGGAGCCGACAGAGGACAGAATATGGGAGTGACTGCTGATGGCAGGAGTTTCCTGTCCAGTAGCGAATGTTTCTGAAGGGGGTGGAGCTGATGGCTCATCAAATATCTCAAATCCCAGCCGTCGATGCACGGGTTGTGTCAGGTGCTGATCACAAGGTGGCCGAGGCCAGCTGCTTCTTTGGCTTGGTTTTGTTCCTGTTTATTCATTTTGTTTTGTGGTTCTTTTGAAACGGGATCTCTGTGGCGGGCCTCGAACTTGCTATGTGGGTCAAGCTGGCCTGGAACTTGCTATGTGGGTCAAGCTGGCCTGGAACTTGCTGCAATCTTCCTGCCTCTGCCTCCTGCCTTTTGGGATTACAAGCATGCATCACCAAGCCCTACATTTTCTTCTTACTTCTGTTTATTTGTGTGCCCGAGAGCGCCACAGCAGGCCCGAGGAGGTCAGAGGGCAGCTTGCAGGAGCTGGTTCTTTTCTTCCACTATGCGAACCCCAGGGCAAACTCAGGTGGTCAGGCTTGGCCACAGGTACCTTTACTCCCTGAGCCATCTCACCAGCCTGGCTTTTTAGTTTTGAAGATGTTCCGGTAAACTTTCTTAAGCTTAATCTATAAAAAGACTAACAGCCTAATAGAAGACCAGGCAGAGTGACGGGGCAGGTGAGACAAAAAGGAAGTGCGAAACTCTCAGCACTGGAAAAAGAAATGTGAATTAAGGGCCTGGGCCTGGCTCAGAGGCAGGCCACTTGCTCAGCAAGCACAGGACTCTGGGTTCCTTCCTGGTACCATAAGCACACGAATGAATAACTAATTGAAATGCAAATTAAAATTGTCCATAGCATCATATGCCTATAGTTCCAGCATTTGGGAAGCTGAAACAGGGGGATAGTGAGTTTAAGGCTAGCCTGGGCTATAAGCAGGGCATAGTGTCAAAACAAAAAGACCCCAAGGTCCGTTATTCATTCCTCAGAACATTTGGGCACCTGCTATATTTTGCTAGGAATGCTGGGAATGGAACCAACTGCCTTGTATGTGCTTCACCAACATTCCACCGCGGAGCTACCCAGTCCCTTGGTACCCATCCTTTCTGAGACTGTACTCTCATATCTCGCTTCAGGGGATCAGAAAAGGGCCAGTCGCCACAGAGAGTCAACGGCTAACTTCCTGCATCCTTCACAGGTACGCACAAAGAGGGTTAGGCATCATCTCTAAGGCTGCAGCTAAGCTCAATACGAGAATGAACAGAACATGTGGGGCAGATGGCGTCCTCTCTCTCCCTCCCCACTTACGTGCTTGTAGAGGTCAGAGGTCAACTTCAGGAGCTGGCCACCTTCTTTTTGAAGACAGGGTCTCTTGCTGGCCAGGAGCTCACCAATGAGGCTAGGTTGGCTGGCTGGCAAGCCTGGGATCCTCTTCCTTCTCACGAGTGCTGGGGTTATATGAGCACACCACCACATCTGGCTCTCTGCCTTGGTGCTGGGGCTCGCGCACTGACACAGCCTGTCCTTTACAGAGGGAGCCATCGCCAAAGCCTCCAGATGGCAGTCACTAAGGGACCACATTCAATAAGTCAGAGGCCTACACAGGACACAGACACTGGCCTTTCTTCAGATGAGAGGGGCCTCCTCTTGCCTACCTGCCTTGACCCTGGAGAGTGACTGTCCTTGTCTTTGGATTCACACTGCAACATCTCCCTGCCTGACTCTCAAGCCCCTCAGAGGCAATTATGGCACCTGCATCTGGGTGTCTGGCGGTCTCAGCGAGTCACAGGCATGCACCAGCTGCACACCCACACTTATTGGCAAGCACGCATACACCAGCACCTCCATGCACCCACATCTCCTTTTAGGCTGGCCTCTTCCGACAGTCTAAGAAAGAGGGTAACTTGGTAGACACATTCTTCTGCACATGGCCTGAGAGTCCATGGTATCCAGGGGCCTGAGGTGAAGACCCTCCTGCTGTGGGGAGCAAGTCAATTGTGGTAAAATAAAGTCATAGGAGGGGACACTCTTGGCAACCAGTAAATCAAACTGAATGACAGGAAGCTGTGTTTACTAAAGGGAAGAGGCTTCAAGATCTGCAAGTAAATTCAAGATGAAACTGGGGGGGGGGGGGTTTGGAGAGATGGCTCAGAGATTAAGAGCACTGACTGTTCTTCCATAGGTCCTGAGTTCAATTCCCAGCAACCCACATGGTGGCTCCCAACCATCTATACTGACATCTGGTGCCCTCTTCTGGCCTGCAGGCATACATGGAGGCTGAACACTGTGTACATAGTAAATAAATAATTAAAAAAAAAAAAGATGAAACTGGGAGCCAGCCAGCTCAGGACAAGAAACCATTTCAAGATTCTATGATTTTGGCTAGGTATGGTGGTATATGCTCACCTGTAATCCCAGTACTCTGGAGGCAGAGGCAGGCTAATCTCTGAGTTCAAGACCAGCTTGATCTTCATAGAGAGTTGCAAGACCCTGCCTCAAAAATAAATTAATTAATTAAACTAAAAAATTAAAGACAATGAAATACAGCCATTTACTTATTTCTTTTCTGTTTTCAATTTGGGGCTTTTCTTCCCCTACAATGAGTACTTCATTTTACAATTTAAAATTCTGATAAAGAAGCTTGGCAGACCAAGCGTGTGACTCGAGAATTCCGAGAGGCGAGGCAGGAGAAGTGCTGCAAGCTGAAGGCCAGCCTGGGCTACATAAATAGAAACACTTTGTCTTTGACAAATAGCATAAGGCCAGCCTGAGCTACAGAAATAGAAACACTTTGTCTTTAATAGATAGCATAAGCTCAGGGCAGGACGCTGGCGATTAGTGCTGCCGAGGCTGGGTATAGACTGACCCTGAGCAGGAATCAGGGAGTGCATACTGCGTGCTAGAAACTCAACTCAGGAGGTCTCAGTGTGTCACATTGGGTGGGTTTGGAACTGCATTGGGACTCCCTGAGTTCCACACAGGGCTAGGGAGCCTTCTCACTCTCTGCAGGGTAAACACCCAGGTGGCTGGTTCCTTCAGCAGTCTGGTTGACCTTGGCCCCTGGGCTACTGACACCCCTTACACCCCCCACTCCCACAGGCCCCAGCTATCTGGCTTGGCCTACCTTCTCTCCCCCTCCCCCAGCACAGGTCGTCTGGATTCCCATTAAGTGGCTTGCAAGGGAAATGCATTTAAGGGACAAGGCAAACAGGTGTCTCTAATTTAACCTGGGTGGAGCGTGGTCTGGGCAGCTCCAGGCCACTCTCACTTCCACTGGCCACAGGGAACAGTCACCCCAGCTCTCACTTCCCTCTGTAGTGCTAGGGCTGGTCCCATTTTCTGGGGAAATGATTAGCTTATCTGGAGGCCAATTAGTTCCTGGCCAGCTCCCTCTCCCACAAGTTCTGTAGGGTCAAAGGGCCCGAGGCCTCAGTAAGGTTCAAGATACATCCTGGGGCGGAGAATGCTGCCAGTCCCATAGAGGCTTCAAGGAAACCAGGAAGCTAGGGTCATCAGTCTATCTGGGGGGGGGGTGGTCCTAAGAGATGAAACATGTGACCTCAAGGTTGGACTTTGGTGACTATTTACCAGCTGGGAAAGACTACAGCAATCTAGTCATAGTGAGAGGGACTCCCACCAACAGCACAGCTCACGCAGGCTGATCAGGAGCTGTGGTTACTCAACTGATGAATGGAAAAATTAAATGTGGTATGCCCATTCAGATGGAATTTTACTCAGCCATAAGAAGGACATGTACCACAACACACACAAACAATCACGTTATAGGGTCCCACTTACATGAAATGTCCAGAAGAGATAAATCCTTATTTTTCAGTTCAACACAAAATAGATTAGTGGCTGCCCAGGATTGGGATCTGGGGACTAGTGGCTGCCAGGGACTGGGAGTTGGGGGACTAGTAGCTTTTTGAATGGAAAAGATTTAGAGAGAACATTCTGGACTAGGATTTTGACAAGGATTATAGCACCCTGTTTGTATATCCCAAACCACTGGATTGTGTGTCTCCAAATGACTTCTTATGATATGAGTCACGTCATTGAAGGCTTGAAAACTGAGGCCTTACATTGATAGAATACTAATATACGGGCTGGAGAGATGGCTCAGAGGTTAAGAGCATTGCCTGCTCTTCCAAAGATCCTGAGTTCAATTCCCAGCAACCACATGGTGGCTCACAACCATCTGTAATGAAGCCTGGTGCCCTCTTCTGGCCTGCAGGCATACACACAGACAGAATATTGTATACATAATAAATAAATAAATATTAAAAAATATTTTAAAAAAAGAATACTAATATACAACAAAGATGAGCACAAAGAGCTAAGCGGAGCTGCATGGTAAGAAGTCTCACTGTCACCCCATTTGCCTCCAAGGAGGCTGACGCTGTAGCCTCTGTGTTGGGCCCTGCTGGCCCAGCATGGCAGGTGGACCAGAGCCTGCCCACTCTAGAGGGCCAGGACTAGTCTGGTTGGGCCCTACCTTCCCTTCAGGTCTCTAAAGCATAACTTCCCACAAAGACAGGAAGAGGAGACCAGAAGATGCTCGAGTGGAGGGAACAGAAGGAAGGAATGCTCAGAGTCAGGGTGTGGAGTGAGGCCCTGAAGGCAGGCATAGCAGAGCTCAGCAGATGTGCGGACACAGCCTGGGAAGAGGTCCAGGCCCTAGAGCAGCACCAGCTCACAAAGATGCCACCTGAAGCCAGTCATACAGG